ACCTGGATTCGCCGGTTTTCACGAATTTGATGTACCAAAAACAATTCAAATCGCTCCGAACGCGTACGAATTCAGTAGATACACATGTAAGGACCTATTGAAACCTCCCCTGTTTTTCGACAAGAAGATTGTAGCTTGTATTGTAATTTAAACAGGAATAAAGATATCTCATGAGGCCCACAAACGCTTAAGATCTGCTATTCTATGTCTTCCCAGGATGATTTGTACTACCAAGTTTACATTCTTTCGAAAGAAGGCATGGTGCTCGAGCCATTACTGAGTTGGATTAATCTAGTGTGGTAACATACTTTTTCATTGTTTTATTTTTGATGCAGCAGCTGTATGTTTGACATGGCTGCTCATTCTCACGACCATACCATGCCACTATTCCCGACTGTTTATCGTTTCGATTGTGACAAGGCACCTGTACTGGGTTTCACATTAGCCGTCATGAGCGATGTCGTGCTGGGCTGTCGTACAGTAACTAAATGCATGCATGCATGCATGCATGAGATAGCGTGACCTAATGCATGATAGCTCTTGTACGGCGGTGCCTAAAATAACGAATCTTACATTTCTTCAGAGCCATAGTCCAGTCATAAGCTGATCAGTTCACAATATACTTTCCAACGTCAATTTTGGTTTGGAGAATGAGGTGATGCAATGACCTCTAACAAACGCCTAGATCGTGTGTACCTCGAGCACCAATGCTGATAGTAAAATAAGAAGGTATTCTAATATCTGCTCCTACAATGGAAATGCTTCATCGATTTCGCGTGAGAAAGCACCATCGTCTCCGCGCCCTCTAGCGATGCGTCGACTGACTGCAGGCGGTGTAAGCATAGCTTAATGTATCCATCGAAGTTCAATAGCGCAAAAACTTGGTCACACCCTTCTCTTGATAAAAAAATCGCAGTGCTTAAATTCAGTAACTTAGATTTTTATGCGTTACGTTACGATCTTTGGCAAACGGGTTTTTATTTTCAAATTCGACTGGGTATGTACGCATTAAAGGATGAGTGTGTACCTATCACTTTATAAATTAAATGCGCATCGCAACAACACCCCTCACTTCATTGTTTGATCAATTTCTTTAAAGGATGGTGAAAATGGGAAGCTCACGTTACCGTCGAACGACGTGGTCTTTAACAAGGGGATTAGAAATAACATGCACCTCCAAGGATTGTGTGACCTGTCACTCGATTAATTCATTGAGATTGACCGGATACACAGGAGTCTAGATGATTATAGTTTTTTATAAAATATTCCTCCTCGTGCGACAAGCGCGTTAATTGCGTTATATAAAAGAACGCTTAGCCACAAACATTACTATATGATTTGCCACAAAATCGCTAAAAGTAATAATTTTATTCGGTTCCTTTTTTGCTCAGTTTCGGACACGTGTCGTTCTATGGCGTCTCTGATCGTAAGAGATAAGTGCCTGAGTAAAGGAAAAGTACTATTGGGCATTAATACCAAGCGATTCCTTGGAGTCGCATTCTACTGACCAGGACTAGAAGCTTAGAAGCTTGTAAATACACCTAAATTAAGTCTAACCAAGTTTGCAAGACTTAAGACCCTTTTAATTCGATACCCGATCAGTTGTATGTAATAAGATAATCTAAAAAGCAAAAAGTCTCAACCTGCGTAAGGAGTTCAGTTAGCTCCGCTACATCTTATTCACATTGGAGCTCGCGTATGAAACAATGAGTAGGCTTTAATATTGTTGTGAGCTCAAGCTACCAATATAAATTGCTGATGTTATTGAGAGCCGATGGATGATACTTCTCAGTGACGCCGTCTATAACGATGTGCGTCCGACGACATATAAAAGATCAAAAAATGAAAGTCTCAACTAATAGATCTTGATCTTCTGCCATGAAAAAGGTAAGCTTTTGTCTCCTGTTTTAAGTTTATATTGGACTAAGGATGGAAACCACTTCACTTATGTATTTGTCGAAGGTGCGAGAGTTTCGCTGGTCTAGGCTGTGAAGAATTGTTTTGGTTAGCCCTCTGGTCGCTCTTGGTCACATTTTCGCCAATCATTTGCGGGCATTAATACGTGGATATGGTAAGCACTTTTTAAGGCGGTCGCGATGAGTGACCTCGTCGTAGAGTATCACCTATGCTACATATCTACCTATGAGAAGTGAAGCTGTTACATCACACTCCGTACTACGTGCAAAGTAAACCCAGCTTTATTACAGACACAAGCATACATAAAGAAGGCTCTGAAAAGCTCGGCATTTACCTTGCACTCAATGAGTGAAGCGTTCACCCTTTGGTCTCGCAATGAACCACGTGAAAAATATTTAATTACGGCCTATTGTTCGACCATGGGGTCAGTTAAATGTATTCAAAGATCAACGAGATGAAAACAAGAGCCTGCTTTATCGTGTTCACGTTCGCTTCGACATTGTATAGCGTGATAACTAAGATACATTGCTTGTACACGGTAGGGCATTGTTATCATTTATTTGGGCCATGTGACTTTATTGAGGGAAAGGCTTGGGATTCATACGTAGCTTTGTTAATTCAAGATACAATCATCATCTTTATCACTATCTATTGGCAGCATACAGTAGCAACACGTTTAGATGAAGAGCTCGGGTCTATAGCATTTGGTCGTATGCGAGAAGTATAGCATCCTCAGCGGAAAGAGCATGCTCTACAATTTTGATAGAGTAGGGGAAGACATGTAGATATTTTAAAAATGCTTCTAAGCGTATCTTGTGACGCAAAATCAGCTTATTTACGACACCGCGTGGTATAAAAATGGATGAGTCCATTCCTGCGCTCGTGACTTTCACGGGGTACCTGATAAAAGGCGTATGTGGTTATTACGATGTAGCATCCTTGTACACAACTAAGTGGAACGGCCCGTCATAAATCGTGTTGGTCCTTTACTCTTTGCAATAATTCCAAATGCTATGTCTTATTTTAGACTGCTGCGCACCTCTTATAGGAACTTGTTAAAAGCGGCATGTTGTCTAGCGACTCCAACATGCCATTGATGGCGGGTTCGCCCATGAGAAAATCGTGCGGTCGACTATCTCCCATAAATGTTCACGCAGATGTGAGTAGTCTTTAAGTGTGACGTGAAAGCTTTCGTCTTCAACATATAACAATTTCCTGTTGGACGGTCACTAAGTAGTCGTTGGACGGACTACGAAGTACTACCAGGTGTTACGGGGCACCCTTTCTTTGGGTGCCGCAAAACGTCACGTACACGAGTACGTGCAGAGGAAGATTTTCTACATTTAACAGCTAATTTGAGTGTAGAGTAAAAAGAGAAACGGTTCAATAAAGTTAAGCTACCAGTATAACTTCAGTCTTCATCTGATTAATTAATCTACATTGTCATGTGACGACAACCTGCTCACCACTCATTACGCGCATCTATCAGCAATTGGTAGTGGTCTTGGTTGATGTGTCTTTTATCAACCAATCTTTGAGCAGCACGTGAATGTTATCCTAAAAGGGGATACTATTCTATCGTTATTATCCATCCCGGATAATGCTGGAATGATATTGTCATGCTAGACGATCTCCCCATTGACACCATTTGGTGTCAATAACATGTAACGGGCTACCCCGTTACAATCACTCTTTTTATACTAAGAGCAATCATGTTTGTAGTGCCCCGATGTAGGCAGGAGTATGCATCAGCTAATCGGGATCTAAATGCGATCAATAGAAATAAAGTAAACTTCTCAGTGTGTCTGCAGATGCGCTCATCATGCATGGCGACATAAAAAGCCCAAAACATTGCAAATGCTATAGAATAGATGTGTGTTTCGTAGGCGCAATAGACGCGCCAATACGAACGGACCATCATGGATCAAGTTTAATTTAGACAATCATTCGGCGATTGATGCTATGCTTGGTATGCAAACTACTATTTTGCACTCGATTAATACCAAATCGATAGACATCCGATTTAACGATCAGAGCGGTGCTGGGACTTTATGTTATCTCGTACAGCGCATGCTGATATTTTTGTTATTGCACCCCCTCTTAACCGTATGCAACGTTCTATTGTAAAAAGGGACATCGTTTTACACAAATGAGAAGGCCAAACGCATCCACATGAAAATTTTTTTATTCATTTCTTAAATGTACATCTTTGCCACAGACGTACTTCATAGCGCTCGCTTCTCGGAATATCGATCTGTGCACAGGGAGGGGCTTGACTACAAATGCTGACAGACTAGCAAGCAGATACTGAAGCAGCTACCACACAAATAGCTAAATTTTTACCTTTCTGGTGTTTTATGCACGTCGATTGGCCAAAGAAGGCCAATTATTGAGGCAGCTTCTGAGCATCAATTATATGCCCTTTAAAATTGCTAAAATTAGAATTAATTCAACAAAAGTAGCAGAAAGACAATGATGGAAGAAGTAAATCAGAATGCCTTGTTTATGTAGGCATCATCGACCTGACAGTTGCACACGTACGGGCGTTAGGGGACCGAGAGCAGCACATCTCCGCACGACGATCAACCTGCCAAACCAAGACAACCACCAGTGGCGCAGCTGCTTATGAAGATTCGGATTTGTCTATTAATGCAGAAGAAGATTGTGATAGTAATGACCAGGACATGTGGTTAAAGGCAAATGTAGAGTCGGTTGCTCGATCAGCACGGTCAGAAGTCGGCAAGAAGCTAGTATGTTGTGATCAACAAGGCACTGTGGCAAGGACATACTCCGGTTTACGTGGAAGAATGTCTTGAGTCAAGCGACAAGCCCAACGTGGTTCTTGAGAGCGTGAAGACTCGAGTATGATTAGATTGAGCAGACAAAGTAGTAGTATGGAAGGGTTCCTGCATGAATACAAAGCTGGCTGCAGTCCAAGCTGTAATCTGGATTCACGTTTGAGTTTTTGCGCTTAAATTGCTGGAATGCCCGAGCTATGCGTGGGAGGCGGCTAGAGAATCTCTTTCACCCACTGAGGATAACATCGATAATCGAGAGGAAATATTTGCAGCTGCGACAGAACTATGGAGATTCGTGGTCGCGACGGCTATGCACACTACATGGACGGAACGGCTACGTCGTACGGCGGACCCGAGCGTATCGACAGCTCAACCTTTGATGGTTGCCCGGAATAGCTTGAGACGTTCCCTGACTCGTTTCCGTGGTTCGACATACCAGCCAGGTGTCGGGAGGGGGGGCAGATAAGGACCAGTGTACGGTCCGCTTTAGCGGACGCTCTGCTTCGCCACCTTACTCCAGCTCAATTGCGGAATCTGTCAGCAGACGCGGGCCAGGACCTCATTTATCTACTTTTATTCTCGGGAGCATCTCGAGGTAATTTAGGGCCAGGCGGAGCCGGGCAATACACATGCGGCAGCGATCAGTTGGGTATCCAGTATGGCTTTCAACCTTGCGCAAACGACAGAAGCCGTGGCTTCATATCAGGGCTATTCAATGGCCCCCGACAAGCTAAGGTCCGAGCCTTCGTACCGCTGTATGTCGTTGGGGAAAACAAGGCGATTATAAACCAGCTTCGAGTGCGTTGGTCACCAGTCCGGCCCAGGCTCTCAAATCCCTACCGGGAGGCCCGGGAGATCGCAGATGCTCTTTCTGCAATTAGCTGGAGCCACTACTCCCACGAGCACAACCTTATGGCTGCCGGTGCAGCTACTGCTACGGCTGCAAATGTGGAAGCCTTAGGGAGACGCACTCTCCAGACTGGGCCTTTCTCTTGCTCTGTTCGAGCGAGCATGGACCCCGATATCAATGACTGGTACGAAATGTCGCTACCAGCAGAATTAGAGATTCAGTTAGGGTCTCCTGCGCCGCTTGCACGTCGTGCGCCTCCTACCAATTCTCCTGAACAGCACGCCTCTGCCCTACACGGCGGAACTCGGGATGAGACCCTTACACTAAAGCGACGTAGCCATTAGGTTGCTGTCCAACGGATATATCCAAGTTGGCGATCGTACTTCAATGTACCTCACCACCCGAAAAAAACTGTAATCTGGATGTGTTGTCGCAGTCACGCGACGACGAGATGGTGGTGGTGGTGCAAGGGGGGCTAGAACAGTGCAGGTAGCAGTTCAAGACGTGGAAAAGGTGGTTCTTCCTGCAGCTAAAGGATGGCATGATGTCTTTTTGGACGGACGAAACACTCAACAAACGGAAGAAGCCGTTGACATCAGCTGTGAATTCGATGCGGACGTGTCAATGCAGTCCATTTTTATAAACAAAGTCTTGGTGTTCCTCGTTGCCACGTCACAGCGGCACCTTATGATCTCGGCACCGTCAAAGCCGATGTTATAAACGTGAATTACCCGATTACATGCATCTAAAGAAGTTCCTACCGATCTAGGGGATCCGCTTTACAATACGGTGAAGATTTACGTGCACGAAGCAAAGATAAACCACGAATAGGAGCACTGTGAAGACCCTACGTCGCATCGAGACGACAGGTAGGTCGGCGTATGACGCCCGGTATCTGCTGTGCTTCCCAAGACGTGTGACGGTGATGCATCTGTTGTTGTAGTCGTCACTGCTGCGACTGCGACTATCACAGACTATAACAAATGCAATGAAACAAAGAATGAGTTAGAATAGCTACGATCGTGGTCGTTTATTTGTGGTCGTCGTGGAATTTATCTTTGTTTTGATGGTCCAGTTGGCCGGTGTCATCCTGTTCGTCGTCGTATTCGACGCATTTATGGTCATGGTCGTCGTTAAATTTCGTTTTGTCGTGATTGCCCCTTCTGCCGTCATTTTGGACGTTGTTGTTTATAACAACCAGACAACTACTTCTCAGTGCTTAAAATGGAAAGTAGTATTAAGAGTTAAGACCACTGCAAAAATGCATATATAAAAAATCCCCTCATAAAGTGATCGCTCATCCAGAATGTTCGAAGAGCCCTGTCCCTGCAAGTTGCCATAAACACGACGCACAATTCATGTCGTGGTACGTAAACCTTAACACTCCCCTTCGAATTGCACTCTCATGAATTTCACTTGCATCACGCAGACGTAGCAGTTGTGGTGCACTTAGTGGCTTCGTTACGTAATCAGCAAGCTGCATAATAGACGGATAATGTTCGAGCTGAATTGTGCGCTGCTCAACGTGAACTCGGACGAAATGCACCCTCAGTCAATGTGCTTGGATCTTGGCGTATATCATTTGTTTGTCGCAATGCTTATCGCCGACTTATTGTCCATATGCACAGTGGTTGCACTCGTGCACGCGACACCCATTTGCATCAGCAAATAGCGAATCCACACAATCTCTTGAGTAGCTAGTGCCAATGACATACACTCAGCTTCAGCCGAAGACAAAGCCACCGAGCTTTGTCTTTTGCTCTTGTATACAACAACCGCGTTTCCGAGCAAAATTAAAACACCAGAGGTCGAGCGACGAGTACTTTTGTCACCTTCCCAGTTTGCATCACAGTAGGCGCAAAGCATGAGTTTATTGCTGTCCAATCTCTTGTATGCAATCCTGTGTGATTGTGTTCCCATCAGGTAATGTAAAACGCGCAACGCTGCACGCCAGTGCATCTATTTTGGCTTCTATAAATACTGCGATAACATCGATATTGTGTAGCTGATATCAGGTCGCGTAGCATTCGCGATGTACATCAGGGAGCCCACCAGTTTTCGATACAAAGTGCTGTTTTTGAAATCACACTGCGAGTCAGTAGGGGTCAAACCTTGACCAGCGATAATTGGACTGCGAACTTCGTAAGCACCATCTTGTTCGAAATCAGTGATCATCTTCTTGATAAATTGAGTCTGTTTCAAAACCAGCTCTCCCTTTTCTAGAGAATAGTTCACCTCCATACCCAAAATAAATCACGCAGCTTAAAGCGACTTCACCGAGAAATGAGCTGTCAATTCTTTGTAAATTCCATCAGCCTCTGCATTCGACTTGCATCCGATGAGAATATCATCCACATACAGCACTATGTACGAAAGTGACTTGACTTTAGTACTAAGACGTCGAACAAAAAGACAAGTGTCCGCACGACATTGTTCGAAGCCTAAAGCCACAAATACAGAGCATATCTTCTTGAACCAAACTTCTGCGGCTTGTTTAAAGCCATACAAACTTCGTCTTAGCTTGCAAACCGATCCAGACGTAAATTTTATCCCTGGTGGTGGCTCCACGTAAACGTCTTCTTCCAAGTCTCCATTTAGAAAGGCTGTTTTCACATCAAATTGTCGTATCACACATTTCATACTGCAGCAAACCGCAAGAAACGTGCGAATTGTGTTTGAGCACGCAACCGGTGAGTTCGTATAGAAGTAATCAAAACCATGCGTTTGCAGGTATCCAAGAGCAACCAAACGCGCCTTATAACGCACAATTTCACCATTTTCATCAAACTTGTGCCCAAAAACCCACTTGTTTTCAATAACCTTGACACCAGACGGGCGGCGAACAACATCCCATGTGTGATTGCGTTCATGAGCTTAAAATCTATTTCAGAATTGCTGCTTTCTATTGCTTTGACTCTGATGACTGTATTGCCTCATTGTAAGTCGTGGGTACAACAGTGGCAGAAAGCGAAATTTCGTAATCGTCCATACATTGACGTTTAGCTTCAAGCTCGACTACGTCAGCATCATCCTCATTATCCGCTACAGGTCCAACTGTCAAGAGTGGTAAATTTCCACGACCATGTCCAGAATTATCACTTTCAAAGCAAACAAGGGTACGAATCGTCACTTAATCGTCTTTTACTCGACCCAGTGTATACCTCAAGTCTGTACTCCTGGTTGTACTGCTCCTCACGCGGTACAATTGCATTTGAGCGATCGCAAATGTCTTGTAGCATGTGCGTGCGCTGATGACCCTTCTTATCAATGCCTCCACTTAATGTGCGCAATTCTCAAATTGTTTCACCTGTCCGCTCATCTGTACGCTCCCCTCCAATCGGAACAATCTCCAAATTTTACGACCTGTTGTCCTCGCCAAAGGCATCCACAACCATGTCTTCCCAGCTAGGGTCAACATTATCTGCTCCATCAACTTCCATGTCTTCCGCATCATGAGAATCCGCTGAAATGGGTACATTTACCGCATTTTCGTCTCTAATATCGTGCTGTTGTGTGAATTTGACACAATTTTCACTCACAACAATATTCTTGTATCGTGAGGGAGGCCTTTCGTCCAGTGTGACAGAACGAGTCACTATCAACTGTTCTCGATCTACATCCCACACACGGTACGCCTTTGATGTCTCCGAGAAAACCCAGAAAAATGCACTTGTTAGCCTTGTTGTCCCATTTGGTCCGCTTGCAATCCGCTACTCGTGTATAACCAGTAGATAAAAATACATGATAGTAACTTAAGTCAGGTTTCGAACCGTTCATCACTTTAAATGGACTCTTGTTGGGACGCGCTGTGTTCGGAATTCGGTTTAGTGTGTGCGCAGCTGTCATAACAGCTTCACCCCACCACATTCTATCCACCTCCATATGGCTCAACATCGAACGTGCCAATACAGCAAGCGTTCTATTCATTCTTTCAGCCAATCCATTTTGCTGTGGAGTATATGGCACGCTTGTTTGGTGTATGATACCATGATTCACACAATACTTGTTGAACCGGTAACTTGTAAACTCACCACCATTGTCACTTCTGATGCACTTGATCTTGCGATCCGTTTGTGTCTCCACCATCACGCGAAAGTCCTGATAACGTTCAAACACTTGTGTTTTCGCAGCGAGTAAGTACACACAGACGAATCGGCTATAGTCGTTGATAAATTTGAGGACATAAAGGGCACCACCCTTTGATTTCGGGTTCATCGGACCCATGAGATCAGTATGAACAATCTCAAGTGGTTGACTTGTTTTGACTGTACTCCCTGAAATATGACGAAACGGACTGTTCGTCATTTTCCACGTGAACACCCATCGCAAACACCGTCTTCAGTTGCCGACAATTTCGTAATACCGTCGCACTCCTTCATTACTTGATTAAGCTTGCTTGTCGATACGTGACCAAGGCGAGCATGCCACGGTCCACTTTCATCATCTTCTTTGGTCGTGCCCTCGGCTTTGTACGACTCCAATACCACATCCTGCTTCACATTCCACGCAAACAATTTTCCCACTCGATTAATCACTGCTACCGTAATCCCATTAAATGTTAGGACTGCTTGATTACGCTTGAACTGCACCAGAACACCTCGGGCTGTCAGTGCTGGTACAGATACAAGCTTCTTGTCCAATCTAGGCACATGAAGAACTTTCTTCAGCATAACTGTACGGCCATTTTCAGTACAAATCGCACCAATCTGTTCCTTTCGCCATCAGATGCTGTCCATTAGCAAATGTGATGCTAATTGGGGTAGTTGGATTTTCATACTCCACAAAATCACGCTCGTCATCAGTCATGTGACGGCTTGCACCACTATCCAGCAGCCAAGTTGCACTTGACTCCAATTTCTCGCTTGATGCTGAGAAAACAAATTCATCGCCAGATCTTGACTGATTCACGCTGTATTACTGCAAACTCTTGTGACCATGTTTTCCACAAGTAAAACACTTGCCTTGAAATCTTGCGTTGTCGTTCATTCATCTGAAAGCTTGGTTTCGATCTTTTTCGTTCTGACGGCCATGGTGTCCTCGGTTTCCTTGAAAGCGTCGATTCACATTGGGTTGTGCGTGTGCTTTAAAAGCAGTTTCCTTCTTATCACGTTTCTGTAGCGTGTCATACTCCCGCCGGAGCATCTCTTTTGCGTCCAACAGCGTCACGTTGCTGTGCGCCTCAATTATGCGCACCATATCATCATATTTAGATGATAAGCTTCCCAAGGGAAGTACTAGCTTCTCATCATCATCCATGCTGTCACCAGCAGCCCTGAGCTTCAAAGAAAGCTTATCAAACTTCAGTAGGTGGTCCATTAGACTCGTACCAGTTTCCATCTCAAATTCATATAGTTGTTTCCGAAGTTGCACCCGATTGTGGGGTTTTTTCTTTGCGAAGAATGTCTGCAATACCTCCCAAGCCTCAAGGGCTGTCTCACATTCCCGAACCATACACTGATAGGTGGGTGAGAGTAACTTCACCAGCACAGCCAGAGCCTTCATATCGGCGACTTTCCACTCGGGTAATTCCCGTAGCACTGCCGACTCTGGCGTCACCATTACATGATCTAATAGATCCTTGCGTGCAAGGGTCATGCGTGCGTTAAGTTCCCACATGAAGTAGTTATCATCCGTAAGGATATCATTGGGGGCCAACGCATTTGGGCTCATAACCTATAACAACCAGACATCTACTTCTCAGTGCTTAAAATGGAAAGTAGTATTAAGAGTTAAGACAACTGCAAAAATGCATATATAATTTTTTTCATAAAGTGATCGCTCATCCAGAATGTTAGAAGAGCCCTGTCCCTGCAAGTTGCCATAAACACGACACACAATTCACGTCGTGGTACGTAAACCCCAACATTGTTGATGTTGTAAACCTCATCTTCATGTGCGTCCCTGTCCAATCTCCGTTGCCATGTTGAAGTCCTTCCAAACATCATCCGCATTCTCATCTGCGAGTACTCCCACTTCTTCGGCTTCATTTTGTCACTTCATGTATTTAATTTTGTATTTGAGTCTCCATCTACCCTGTCGGTCATACTGTCACCCACAGCGGAGTGGTCTTGCGATAAAATGGCAGGCTCACATCTGCACCTTACATCCGAAAGAAGGTTTTAATATTTAATGTAGCAAACAAAGCGTCAGCCAAGGAATTCCATCAATAAAAGACCACACACAGGTTCGGATAAGACGGTAGAAAACAATTGTACATTATACTAGGTCATGATTGCGCATTATTTTTCATGTCTATTCAATTTCAGATGAAGACCACTATCAGGATTTGATAAGCGGCGAGTATGGCGGGTGATGGATTGTATATAAATTTTATTTCTTATAGCCGCCTCAACTATTGACTATCTTTGGTCGATTGACGTGCATAAAACACCAGAAAGGTAAAAATTTAGCTGTTTGTGCACTAGCTGCGACAGTATCTGCTAGCCACTCTGTCCGCTTCTGCCGTCAAGTCTCTCCCCCGTGCATATTGCACAGACGGTGACGACAACTTTGGTTTCAAGTTGTAGCTCCAAGAACAGCTGGCGCAGTCTGTTGTTGTTAGAAGCCACGTCGTATCATGACACGGCAGTTTTACAGTACATTGTCATGTAATAGTGACCAGCCCGTAGATACTGATATCTGTGAAGTAACGCGTGTCCATATCCTCTCCCTATTTTCAGCCAATCGACTAGCGTCTCAACGCCCAGCCAACCATTTCTCGTACTTCGCCATGACACCAAGGAAGCGCAAGACCAGCGCCGATGCCGTCGCGTCGGCTCCGCTCCAAGTGCATCGCTGCCGCTTTGTGGACTGGATGCCAGCAGCAATCCACGTGCTGTGCTTTAATGCTGCTGGAGATCAATTAGCTGTAGCTCGAGCCAATGGCGACGTTGAGCTCTGGAGCGTGGACCTGAAGTGGCACCTCAAGTTTGTGATCGCTGGCTCCAAGTCCAGTGAAGTAACAGCTCTTTGTTGGGAGCCTGAGAGTGACCGTCTCTTTGCATCATCTCTGGATGGGACGCTCTGGGAAGTGGATTTTCACTTGCTGTGCAAGAAAAACCTGACGGACTCAAATGGGGGTCCCATTTGGAGCATGGTCATGGACGCAGATTCGAAGCAGCTGGCTGTTGGCTGCGAAGATGGCCGGATTCGCCTCTTCTCGTACTCGGACAGCCATCAGATCTACTTTTGCAAGAGTTTTCTTACAACCGAGGGACGCGTCGTGTCGTTGACTTGGCATCCGAAGGCGCAAAAGATCTTTTCTGGCAGCGAAACCGGCATTATTTACTGTTGGAACGCCGTCACAGGTCGCAGTGAGTCGCGGATTACGCTGGAACATTTGGGCAAACAGAAGACGGTCGTCTGGTCACTGGTAGTGCTCGATGACTTGACACTTGTCAGTGGAGACTCCTCGGGCAATTTAAGTTTCTGGAATGCGCCCACTGGTACATTACTGCAAAAGTTCTCGCACTTGACGGCAGACATTCTGGCAATTTGTGTCAGTAACGACAACAATTTACTCTACGCATCCGGCGTTGACAATCAGGTCGTTGAGTTCCGACGTGCTGTCGCTGAAAGTGGGATCAGCTCTTGGTCGTACTCGTACAGCCACCGGGGACACAGTCATGACGTGCGTGCGCTGGCGCTGTCGTCTGCCCCTAGGTCGATCTTGGTATCAGGTGGGATTGATACCCAGTTGGTGTGGTATTTATGCGTCAAATTCAGCTCGATCCGACCGACCAAGATTGCGTCGATGCCGTATCCGCATTCAATCTCGCTAGCGACTGAAAAGCGCGTGTTGCTGGTACAGAAGGCGACTTCTTTAGATCTTTGGCAACTTGCCGTGGAGTCGGCAGCTAGTGGACTGACTGCACAGAAGCACAAGCTGCTTCTGCGACTGAATGTGAGCGACGTGCTGAACTTGTCATGCTCAGCCATGGCCTCGAGCGCCAAATTTGTGGCTTGCTCGAACTCGAAGGAAATGAAGCTATTTGAGCTGGATGCTGGACATGGTTTCCAGCCAAAGAAGATTACTACGTTGCCGTGTCTTGCGACGGAACCAGCGCGCGTGTTGGCTTTTTCGCCCGATTCGACCCGCCTTGTGATTGCTTCGTCGTCACATCAGATTCGTGTGCTGGACTTGACCAAGATGCAAATTTTGAAGACTTTTCAAGCTACAACGTCGATTAACTCTGCTGGAGACGAAAGCAGTGATGTGTCGTCTGCGCTCGTCTCGCTGACAATTTCATCGGATGGACAGTGGCTCGCTACAGGTGACGCGTCGAACAACATTTCTGTGTACAATTTGGACTCGATGCAGTTCTATTGTCAACTGCCTCGTCCGAGCGAGATTCATACCAACATGGGCTTCAACCCGTCCGGTAAGATTCTGGTGGTCACTCTCGTGTCGAACAGTTTTGTGTGCTACGACGTAGAGACCAAAGGTCTTTCGGAATGGTACCGTGAGAACTACAAGCAGTTCCCAAAAGGGCTTGTAGACGGTCGCAACATCAAGGGCATGACTTTTGACCCGGCAAACCTGGACTTTTTGTACCTGTACTCACAAGCGAGTCTTTACCAGATCAACATGGGCAAGCATTTGAACTCGTCAGCCAAAATGCCGTCCAGGAAATGTCGCCGTCGTGCAATGAGCGTCACCGACTCGGATGGCAAGAGTGACGCTGCAGAAGGCGAATTAGTGGATTTTGAGGACGGTTTTTGCCGTGTCGTCAACCGCTATCGTCCGCTCTCATTTGTCGACTTTGTTGCGGAGAATGAGATGATCATTGTAGAGACGCCATGGTTGAAGGTGCTGAGTCGCTTGCCTGGTGCCCTCCACCGTCATAAGTACGGCAAGTAAATGTACGCAGTTTTCATCGATTTACACACTCGAAAGTGCTGCTACTATTCTTTGCTGCTATTCTTTGCTACTATTGTTTGCTACTATTCTATGCTGACTCGAATAGTGCAATTACCACCATCTTGTGCGCAGTGAGATACAATCATCGTTTGCCGATAAGAACGTTCATACTGACAGCCGTGTGATCGTGGCTTATAGTCGAGCCCGCAATGGTACAGATATCACAGTGCTGGAAGCAAAAGAGCAGCCGGCAAGTAAAAAAAAGACATCACGTCAATACCAGTTGCAGAAAGGTGGCAGACTGGGATATTGTCTGTTTCACTTTTAAGTCTACTATGATGTGTAAGCAGATCGAAAGTTTCGCCAGGTTGACTACTTTTCCTTTGTTCATCTCTATGCTTGGCGAGGCTTTTCGGAGATGTAACGCAGGTTGGTCGAATCGATAGTCGAAATGTATTGTTCATCGTCTTTATTTTTACGTCACCGCCATCAGCACCTTCGTAGACATGATGCAATATAGTTAGATGCTTTTTTTTGCCTTATTTGTTGGGTACAGACTTGTCACAGCTTTTGCAGATATCGAAGTTCGGAGGGTTTTATTTTCGTGTAAGACTTCTTTTCACTCTTATGAGGAGGATACCACTCGCGTCTTCGCGCTAGGCGTTGCTGTAATACCCAAACACTCGGATCGGGCGCTAGCTCTGGGTACATGCTGTTTTGTAGCTCGATCGCTACGTCGTTACCTCCACCTCCAGCTCATACTGAAGTCCAATCCAGCGTCACGTCGGAAATATGGGTCGCATTTTATTGAATGAAGTAGACTCACCGCTCTGTCTGTGACGTCGGCGTCTTGCTGCCAGGTGGAATCTGCATCTGCCTCTTATCTATTCTCACTCGAGCTCAAGTCGTTCCGGCTTTGGTTCAAGCGGAGTTCCTGGTTGCGTACCGATGCGTCCTCTGCGTTAGCAGTACGCAAAGAAGTTAATGTCACAAATATTCGATTCAAATCGATCCCTCGCATCGCTAGAACAAATCCGATGGAGCTGCAATGGAGTCGACAGGCACGAGATTAATCCTTGATGGCACATTTATGAACTGGCAATCCTCGATATGATGCAAGGACCATTACGCAATACAACTGCATACGTCCTCCTGATGCGTTGAGCAGCCAAGAGGCTGTACGAAGCTCGTAGGTAGAGCGACACTTCGTAGGTTCACTTGTTTTCAGTAACGACGAGTTAGGTTTGTTCGTTCGGTGGAATTGGCAGTTCGATCTTCGAAGCCAGATGGCGTACGTAATGATGCGCTGCGGCGTAAGATGCGTCAACCAAAAAGCATCTGTAAAGATTGCGCACAAGAGCTGCATCATCCATGGTACCGCTCACTTTACTCACGCTGTGGCGCTTGCAATGCTCCGATTGGACCCACAAAGCGACCAAGTGTGGTCGCTTTGAACAGGTTGGTTGCGCTGTCTACTTGACGTAGCGAAAGCTGTGGGACAAGTTGGCGTATCGATTAGCAACCCGGTCGTGCAAGGTCGAGGAGCACCGAGGCGTTGTACGCCCAAAGCTTCTAATGTCACAAATAAAAGACATAGATACATTGCTATACGACGCTGCACCATTTTGTCATTCAACGACGTCTAGAATGTTGAGTGACGACTTGTCGGCCATGTTTTGTTGAATGAAGCAATCCTGCGCTGCGTTAGAGACCGCAAAAAGCAACGTCACAAATGCCAACGCCAGCTTCGATCTTCCATGCGCTTTTGGCTCATCTCTTATGCACCTTCAAAAGGACGCGCGATGCGGCTGTACAACTCCTGATACGTCATCAGTCCCTTTTCTTTTGCAAGGAGCGTTAATGTTCTGCATCGACATGTGCGGCGAACTGACGAATGCGGAACGTAGTGGCCACCAACACGTCTCGAGGGGAAACATGCCGTCGAAACCACGCGTTCCATATTGTCACGCCAGCATTTGTAACACCGGTAGTCATCTTTGTAATCGGACAGGTCCACTCGCGTTACGATGCACTGGTCACAAACACGGCCAGAACATACCGATACTTACGTACCTGCAGCAGCATATTCTCTCACGTCGCAATTCGCAGCACACTTTGCTGCTTTTTGCGTTCGGTCTTCCTCTTCTCGGAGCAATATGCAGTGCTGGTTCTACCAGTCCACTATACCGACACTTCCGTTGCAGAATAAAGCGTCCCTCGTGACGCGCCACTTCTCTGGCGAGAAGAATGAATCTCATAGCTATTCCAAAGGATAGAAGCTAAAGATGTCAATATCAAATACGTCAGACTATAGAATAACTGCAGGCCAGCGCGGGCCAAAGCAGCGATAGCGGTCGATCGGACGAGGTGTTGCACCATATTCGTCGACATCAGCGCCTTCTATAGCTCGTAGGAACTACGTTCAAGGCTATTTTACAGTGCTAAATAAAAGTAACATCGCATCTGCTGCCATTTCGTACTCCACATCAGTGGTCTAAATTTCTGGCATGCATGAGCGCGTCCCAATGCGCAATGACATCGTCTCAGTGCGGAATGACTCCTGATCCTTCAAAGTGTGAACGGAAACTTGAACGACCATCACTCTGCAGTTGATCCGGATACGCATAAACTCGATTCCTCTCGTTATTTTCGATTTCGAAGCGCGATGACCACGCTGCCAAAGGGTAACGAGCGACGGCCATTTATTCGTAAAGATCAGCTCCAACAACTCGACTAAAGCGTCCGTGTGTGTGAACACTATCATCCGTGACCAGGAGCGATCGAGAAGCTGATGCGTGAGGCCGTGGGCGACGACGTGTTGATCTCCAAGACGACCATCGACTGGGTCAAAGAGTGCGCTGGCGGTAACGTGCTTGTCACCGCCGTTACCTCAGCGGTCGGTCAGGGTCCAGTAGTAATCCACGACTAACTGTGCTGCTGGAACGTGGACGACAGAGCTCCTGCTGTTGATTGGACAAGAGGCCAATAAAGTGGCAGAAGGAGCGGCGAAGAAGGAGAACTACCGGATCGCCCACGAGCACGTGATGACGGCACTCGAGGTAGTGACAACGGTCCTGGCCGCTGCAGTCTCTTGTAACTGACGTTATTACGTGTGATTACAGCGTCTCGGAATGCAGCGATACGCAGATGAGATCAAAGAACGCCACGCCGTAGTGGACATCGAGACGCAGGTAGACAAGGACGGGCTTGAACTGACTGGTTGACTGGTTCTTCCCTTAATATGTACGTGGTCCTGACAATCGTGGATCGTCACTGCAGAAAAAGCAGACGCGAACGGCGTTGCGGAAAGCAGCGACTCTAGCGGCTTCACGGGACGAATTATTGGCGGAGCAGACGGCTTTGTTCAAGCAGGCGTCCTTAGATGCGACGAGGGAGGGGTGGTGATGTCATGGGGGGGAATGCAGTGATGCTGCTGCAGGAGGGTGAGCGGGAGCTCTGATACTGTCTGAAGGAAGACACACTTATGGACAAGCAAGGCGGTGTACGCTTTGTGTTATCGTTGTTTTGGTAGAGACTCGACGTCCACCACATGCCACAGTCTTGAAGAGGCTCTTGCAGCAACGGTCAATGAAACTCGACGATGACGCCGCGGTGATCCGATGCATACACTGGACTGGACGGGTGTAACATCCCGACATCCTTCTTGAAATCTTTGGTGTCGTCAGTAGGTGCTTGGCCAATGATCTCGCACTCCTTGACCTGACCGTGACCTCGATACAGGACAAAGTCAATACGTTTCGACGGGTTGTCGCTGGGGAACGTAAACTTGTGCTCACGGTCGTTCACGTCCGTCGACCGAGGCTCGGCTTCCTCGTGCACCTCCAGCCACGCATCCTTCATGTCCGTCTCTTCACCAAGCAGCTCATCGATACCACTGAGGAAGCGGATACCACGAGATTGCGGCTCTGAATTCAGATCGCCAAGCAGCACTTGAGTTTTACCCTGACCTTGCTGCATGTACTTCCAGATCTCGACTTCCGTCTGCTCTCTGGATCGCTCGCTCAGCGACAAGTGAGTCACGTACACGTCGATTTTGCCCCACTGCGGATAATCGATCACCGCATGAAGGCATAGGCGCTGATGCGAGTCATTGGGGTCGTTCGGGTCGCGACTGAGCAACAAGTAGTCAGTCGCAAGGATTGGGAACCTCGAAAATATAGCAGGCCCCTCTTCAATGCGTTCATACGGCATTCCCGAGTTCAGGTAGCTCATCGCCGCCTGGTAGACGTACTGGTACCCCGGCAAACGATCAGCGAGATGCTTCACCTGCGCGTGATTTCCAGGATCTCCAAAGACGCCGTCGTAGCGCACTTCCTGAAATCCGATGATACCAGCTTCTGCTTCCTTGAGCAAGGTGACAAGATGGTCCAGACGTTTTGCGTAATGAGCCCACCGACGACCAGAACCATACACGTCCGAAGAAGGGTTCGTGTTCCACACATTGTACGACAGGATCCGCGGTCCTGACGTTGCAGCTGAGCACTTGTCTTCGGTAATCCCGCTGCACTTTGCATTTTCAGCCATGTCATCATCTGACAGCTGGTTCAACGTCGAGAACGTGTGCTGGAACACATTGTGCTCTGCTTCGCGATCAAGTGCGACGACAACGCGGTGCCTGATGTTGCGCTCGGCGTCCTCCAGCGTGAGGTAAAAGTTGAACCCGAACGTCACTTGGCTCGTGAAGCGGTACCTTCGGCCCTTGGCATCCACCGTATCTTGCACAATCATCATCTCTGACTCACCGTTATCTCCCGTCACTTTGAGTGGGAACACAGTGGCCTGCGTAACTTTGATCGCTGGCGAGACGGAGACGTCCGCGTGTGCCTTGATCGAGGTCACGGCTGCTTCAAAAGCTGCTTGAACCGCTCTATTTGTCGTCACATCCGAATAGAAGATCGGGTCAAGTAGCACGCTACCGTAAAGCAGTTTATTAATGAACGACTCGCCATCCTGTAGCTCGAAGAGATCGATGGGCTCGAAACTCTGACGTTTCTGGTGGATACCACCTGGCGCGGAGGAGAGGTATTGCCCAGTAAAGCGAGCACCTCCAATGAATGGCGTCCAGAAATCCCATCGTGGAAGGTCATTAGATAGCTGGTGTTTAGCCAAAGCAACAGGAGCGAGGACTGACACGCAGGCAAGCAGCACTGAGGCGGCCACGAGGCGTTGGGCGCAGATCGCCATTGTATTTGAGCTCTCGGCCGGGAGCCACATCAATGTTACACCAATTATAATCGTTTTCTTCATCTGGACCGTGTGCGTGTGGTCATGTTTAGTAATCGTTACAATCAGCAAGAGAGGGAGGGAGAGAGGGGTTTTGTGAGAACGGTGAAGATTCGGTCCCCTTCCTCTGGTTCTGGCAACAATAGCTCAGATAGCAAGTGGTGGACCCCACGCACGTCGTACTTTCACGGTGGCCAAGCTGTAGTTCGAAACGCTCGTGAAGAGAAGTTTTCATTTAACAACGGGCTATTGATAAGGGGATCCGAGCGGCGAAACGACGCGAGCGCCGTCTACTTATAGAGTCGATGCTGAAACCATAGAGATGGAGCGTGCGTCCTCTAAATGACCAGTACAACGCAATCGAGTCTTCGTCCACGTCAATGAACGGGACCGTCCGGCAATCTCAGCTTGCACGACTGAAGTATGACAGCAAGAAAGAGCTGGACGACCACACAATGCACAAATGGCGGTTGCATCTAACCTTCCTACTCTCGAGTGCTCTCGCACTGCTCGTTCCGTCGCTGAAACTACTGCACGACCTGGAGCTGCAACGACAAAACGTCCAGGAGACAAGTGTCTAGCAAACCTCGGTACTCGCCTCGAAACTGCAGCATGTTTGCGATGCCGCGTGGGCGCTGACAGGCGCCGCGTCGTCGTGCATTCGTGAGTACAATTCTCTAGTTCTGCGGCGGCCAACAGTCCCCGCCGCACTCATGTTTACGGTCATCTCCCCTGTCAATCTTAATCTCAACCTTCCCGTGTCCTCAATTATGTGTGAAACTAGGCATACAAAAGGCCACTTTAATCCAGTGCAGCTGCCGCCAAGAATTTTGACCGTGTGCTGTCGTGTCTCTACACCGTAACGCCCTCGACAGAATATAGAGCCGGCCATAGATGGAGTCAGTTACGCAGTGCTCCAGTCAGACGTCAACGATTGTTCGGGGCGAGCCAACACTCACTCACTCACTCGCTCACTCACTCACTCGCTCACTCACTCATTTTTCCAATAGAAAGCAAGGGCCATAAGCGAAATCGCGCACACACGCACGTTCACTGTCCACCCTCCTACACACCCACCCACCCATTCACAGCCCGAACCTCGACCCCGTCAGTACCTTCATAGCATCGTACCACGCAATTCAGTCTCCCAACAATTCCTCGATCATCACCTCGTTGCTACGAAAACCAAATGTACCGCTGGACAGCTCTCGTGTCCGCTGCGGTCCTCGTCGACCTGGCCGCGTCCACGACCGCTTCCGTCTCGTCTTACGACATCAACGACCCCATGTTCGGCACGTGTCGTCTCAAGGGCGTTGCCCCCTCCAGTGCCAATTTCAAGCTCTACGCGTCTTTGCCCAATAAAGACGTCGGACTCAACGAAGCTTGCGGCCGCTGTATCACCGTCAAGCGGGGCGAGTTGACGACATCCGCTTACGTGCTGAACGTGTGCGACGGCTGTGATTCAGAGACCGTCCAGCTCTCGAGGGACGCGCTGGCGGCTCTGGAGATCCGACCCGGTGGAAAAAAGGTGCGGGTCACCTACGAGTTCGACACGTGCCCGTCGTCGCTCCTGTCGGGCGACATTAAAGCTTGTCTCATGGAAGGCGCCTCCGGGACGTACGTGCCGCTGCAGTTCTACAACTCCCACAAGGTCATTACAGCAGCTTCCATCAATGGCGTCCCCGCTACGACCACGAAGGCCAACTTCCTCTTCTCAGCCAACCCGAGCTTCCCGTCCAAGACCTGGTACCAGAACGTCGACTTTTCCGTCACGTCGGACACGGGAGAGACACTCAATAGTTCATTGGCATTTGACAGTGACTCTGGCTGTGCAACGTCTTCGGTGCAGTTCTACTCCGCGTCCACCGCGGATGGTGTCGATGGAAACACCAGCACTTCCGGCTCGTCGTCCAGTGGTGCTATCATTGGTGCTGTTTGTGGCGGCATTGCCGCCTTGTTCCTTGTTGTGGGGTCCGCGATTTTCGTCCGCCGTCGCAAACAGGCGTCGAAAGACATGGACGACCCCGAGAACGAGATGGAGAACCAGTTCTTGTCGCCGGCGGTGAAGCCGCTGAAAGCTGCGCCGTCGACGTCGTACCAGGATGACCGGCAGACACTCGCTTCTCCGACGGTAGATTACGCCGAGTCGTTCTCACCAGCTGCTAATTCCAAGGCTACGAACACGAAACCAGGTACGATGAACTCGCCCTTGTTGATGCCGGCAGCAACGGCAGCTGTTCCTGCTCCAGTTGTTGCGGCACCAGTTGCTGCTAAACCATTGGTGGCGCGTGGCCAGATGCCGGCTGCCCCTGCATCTTGTCCGCCCGGAAGATCGACGTCGCCGTCAAAAGCGGCTCCAACAACTTTTGCTTTTAGCAGCAACTTGGACTCGAGCTCCCGTCATCCTCCAGTGAAGACTGCGCCGACGCTTTCAGCTCCTGTGGTACACCACCAGCCATTGCGCACTGGTTTCTACGACGATGACGTTGAAGAGAATCGCTCGAGCTTTGATATTGATGACATGCGCGAGACCGAAGCTCGTGCGACGTCGATCGACTACTCGAACCGACTGGACACAGAGCCGTCACTTGCACCGTTTAGTGCAGCGGAACCGTATGTGAACACAGTGACGTCTCCTCAAAGCAACCATCGTGCCACGAGCCTCCGTCGCCCTGGCTCGAAGCTTAATGCGGCGAAATTGTCAGGCCGTGGCGACTCAGGCCGTTACGTCAATGACCTGGCGGTTTCTAACACGGACAGCTACGCGCCAGAAGCACCACGCCAGACGAATGGATCCATCATATCAAATGGAGCAAACGTGGCGTCTAACAGGGCGGAACCTTCGCCTTCACCCGATGCTAGCGCCTTGAGCGCAGGTCCTAGCTACTCGACGGACACTAACACGATGACGGACTCGCCAGTTCGAGACAGTTATGCGTCTCGCGCTACGCAGCAAAATGCAGATTTGTCTACTTCGCAACGCAGCTTGGGTTCGATGCGTGAGAGCGGCGGCTACAGCACCGACTCGTTGAATATTCTGGGCTACCCGTATTCCAAGAAGAGCGGGCGACACCACAACTCTACAGGTTAGCCATCTGACTCGTTGTTTACAGCCACGTGTACGCTCAACTGGGCAGCAGCTTCCTGTGCGCGATTTATTCTAGTTGCGACACGCAGCTAGCTGGCTGCGTGGCAGCAGCAGGAGCAGCAGTTCACAGGAAGTTGCTCGCCTAGAGGCTACTACTGTACAATACTCGTGCTGCTTCCGAGTATATATCTAAATGACTTTCTCATGTTTATTTCTATGTGTCTTGGTGTTGTGGTGTCACAGAGATGCAGTTTTGAGGGGGATCGCCGATGTGTTACATTATCGTTTTTGCACAGCTTTGCAAGACACGAACAAGCCTGTAGGATACAAGTATGACAAGTATTTCGTGCTGTAGCTACAACCTGAAAAATCGAGGATTGCCGGGTCGATTGTTGGCATAAGTGGTGCGTGCTCTGTTGCGGTATCAGACTATCCGCACGTTTGTTTGTGTGCTATTCTAGGAATACGTGGCAAATGTCGGAGCAAGCCAGACACAACGCATCACACTATTCATACTCTATTGTCGATCGGTTTGAGCACGCAGAATGTACATACGGCAGCCAATGAGGCGATCAAGTCGTGTGCTCATATGTTCGAGCATCTCGAACAGCCGTTACGCTTGTTGCTGCGAGGTGCCACGGTCGGTCGTAAGCTCAGTCGAGCCTACGAGCTGACGCTATCGATTGAGACAGTGATCGCGATAATTTCGGAAGTGCTGGACGGCTGCTGAACTGACTTTGACCCCAGATGACACCTCTTGACAGGTTTGAAGATATTGATCTTTTCCAACGATACTAACTGGGACCGCAACTACGGAGCGCAGAGCAAAGTTGACCCCCTCGGTATATCGCGATTGCAGTAGCTTTCTACTCAGGCTGGAAACAGCCGGCACAGTGCTGACTGTGCAGCTACCTATTTACCGTCAGAGCTTGACACGGATTCGCAGGATCCCTTGATGAGAATAAAGTTAATCTGCTGCACGTCTGAGGTCTTTCCGCGCATAGTTATTGCGATCATTTACGATGACACAATGCGCGGCAATTAAAATAGCCAACCCTGAATCATCACACCAGCAGTGAAGAGTCAAGTTGGAAGTGGATTAAACTTTGCCCACAGGAAAAACTGTGGATGCAACGTCCATCGCGCTTGAAAGTACAAAGCAGCTGGAGCGATGCAAGATGCCAATGCCTGGTATGATCCTAATAGAAAAGGCACAACCATAGGACGATGAATGGTGAAATAAAGCGGTTAGCAACGAGTAAAGAAGCGGTAAAATGACCTTGGGCACGATCTATTGTGAGTGCAGGTCACGAATAATGCACACACTGCGAATGACGTGCCTGCCACACTTTCCGTGGGTGCAATGCGTATTATATTGCGCACATTTCCGACATATTAGGCGAAATCTGATGAGCCAGTTGACGAGCTACAAAAGCTGAACGGGCTCTTCATCTCCAGTATACGTTGATCAGACCGACGAAGTTTTCGATCTGATTGAAGCTCGGGAGTCAGCCTGGCCTTCTTTCCGTTTATGTCCATGTTACCACTGCTCCTATTGGATTGCCGTGCCTCATTCTGGACATGCCTTCGTACCGTATGTAACAATCACTTCACGATGTTCACAACCCTTTGGAATCCATGCCTGGAGCGTGGCCCTCCAAATGACCGTCTCCTTCCGTATTAATTTCATCGCCGTTCCTCCCCCACCAATTCCGTTTAATGCACAAACCAACTAATTCCCTTTCCGTATCCCTGTTCAATAAACTAAAAAATATAAAAAAAGATAATTCCGGCATTCCATTTCGGCTAATGACATTTTACCAAACTATTATCATTGTAGGAAAAATAAAAATGGGAGGTGTAGAGCATCTACCCCTCGCAACAACTGTCCACTCCCTTTTACTTTTGATGCTCTGATTGGCCAGTATAAGAAATGCAACGAGCATTTCGATCCCCGATTGGTCGGACAAAGATTTAAATGGAACACTTTTAATCGACAGCAGTATCACCCGAAAAATAACTTTCCTTTTGCAAGTATTCCTTTTCCCACAACTCCTTTCAAGTGAAAGCTCTGGTACCCCTTGACACTGGCAGATGCTTCTCTGACTAAGACTCAAGCTATTTTAAGGACCTATGCAACGTCACAGGGATTTTTGCGTACTAGGAGGATTGGCTGGGGAAAAATTGACGTCAGTGATGTATACTATCTATGAAGGTTTGAACCGTTGCACGAGACAAAGGTTCTAAGTGCGGTACACACTTACAACCTTTCATGTGATTGGGGTACAACAATAGCGTACCTACGACAAAGTGTGTGTGTTACACACGGCTGACGCCACGACTCGACGTCATTGTATGATGTCATTGAAGTTCACTGTCAGCGTGCTTATTTTTGGCTAAAGCGCGCTGTAACGACAACTTCATCAGAGCGCGCGTCTAATCTTTTGTCTTTTAGCCTACAAAATTAAGATTTTCGTTTGATAGATTAATTAGAAACCACTATTTCTTTTGCAGCTGATAGTGATGTGTGTGCCGAAGGACGGAGAACCGCGTACGAGACACACCGAACAACGAGCATTCCTCTGTCGTTCATGTAGTCGTAAGACGCCCATCAGACCTTTGCAGGTGCACGCGAGGGAAGACGGTAAAAATGCTACCTCGCAGATGCTCAAAGATGTCTCCAACTTCCTTATCCAAAATTAAAAGGCCCAATTAATTGTGGCAAAGCTTGTTGGTAGAACAGGTAGTACTAAAACTGCATGTCTAAGTTGATTGTTAGAACTAATAAGTGCTTTGTCTAATTTCTGTGACCAAATTGGTCTACATATTGTTTTTGCTTGTACTGTGCACTACTCATAGCTTCTCGAACCTTATGTGAATAAAATGATTGCTCATCCACAAAGCGTTGAGCTTATAAAAGACTTTAAATATCTATCTCGCCACTGAGACCAGCAAGAGGTCGGTCACAGGTTGTTGCTGCTAATTATAACCTATCTTCATTGCTTTGAGCACACACAACGTGTGTCGTGAGTCCAACTTGACACGCTCTTGTGTTGTGACCACTGTGACACTTGTAGGGTCAATAGAGTGAGTTCTGCTATAACAATGGCAAAAAAATTACGCTCTCCTGTACTTGATCTGAGCGTAATGAGGGACTCTCACCACTAAGACTCGGGTACGCAAAAACGAGACTGGTGCCCGAAGATGGCGCAGTCCGTTTACACAAAAAGGTCTTTTGACCCGTACTAGCGCAAGCACTGCTGTTGGTAGCAAAATCCACGAATGGAAAAATTGCTCCGTTTAAAAGTCTTCTTTCTTAGGAGTTACAATTGTGCTCAATACATTCGCCATAGCACGATTGGCCCCATCTGTCTGGCCATCGGTTTCGGAATGGTTAGCGGTAGACATGTGGATCTTTCTACCGAGCAGCTTTATCACATGGCGACAAAAAACCTGACGTAAATGTGTATGAAGATTTAAAACCATGGACTTCGGCATTTCGTGTAGTTAATGCACGTGACCTAAGAAAAAGGTGACTACTTTCTAATGTTTCAATGTAAATTAGCGTTAAATGCACCATTTTACTTAGTTTATTAACGAAGACTACGAGACCAGTTGTGCCTTAAAGGTCAGCAGCATACCAAACATGAAGTCTAATTGACTAAATTTTAACAATAAGTGGGTTTTGGTCGAGCCTTCAGTGACACGTGACTAGAAGTTGCAGGCTCTAAGCTTAAACCCTTCACATGATCGAATATAAATGGCTACCCACCGACATAAGATTGTCCACCAAAATTTACCTGACACTCATTATAACGTCTTCTCACGGCCCAGATGACCACTTGATGGTGCATATTGAAGCTCAAATTTTGTTCTGTGTAAAACCTTTGTCATGAAGGAACATGAATTCTCGATCAAAAGGTAATATTCGATGTCATATCAGTCCACTACTATAACTAAAGTTCTTAAATCTCGCCTTGAGGTGCGACGTAAGAGTATATTCTCGTCCACTAAAGTGATATATAAGCAGACGACAAAGTTTGTCCTGGATGTATCTCTCCTTCACATTGAAGACCGGAGTGTTTGCACATGCTTAACCCGCATAGATGCTAGTGTAAAGACTTAAATCGTGCTTTAGAAACGTTCACGTCTTCAAAATGCCATTCCTCATATTCTAGTCCGCGCGATAATGTGTCAGTCAAGACATTCGACCCTCCCGGCTTGTATTTTCCGCAATATGAGATTCTAAGAAGAGTGTGAGCCATTTTAAATCCCAGGAGACAGGAGCGGCAAGTTAATCGCGGTCCGCTGTGATGCGTGATCCGAGTGAACTACACAAGCTTTGGTGCCTAATACGGGCGCTAGAAACTTCACCAGATCACGCTTTATAAAAAATCTCCTTGTCGTGTAAGGGGTAATTTGGCTTTGCGGCCTTTAGCAGTCAGCTTTGTGCAAGATGACACGGTCAATGCTGTCATCATCTTTTTGCGTAAGTGAACACCGAAAGCAAGATTACTCGCATCGCAGACAACACTAAATGAATTATTTGCGTCTGGAAACGATAAGGCCGGAGCCTCTACGAGTGATTGCTTAACTGTAGTATAGGCATCTATTGAGCCTTATACCAGGTCAACTCTGTGCCTTTTCAGGAGTTTAGGTTTGCATATGGTTAGTCCTGGTTTATTCTTGCTTTTTGTGTGCAAATTAGCAAGCCCGAAGAATCGACGCAGATCTTTACATTTCGTGAAAATGGCCATTCCAAAATTTCCTAAAGATTTTTTAAGTCTACTCTAACACCGTGTTTTCCACGATGCAAAACAGTATGGGCATTTCAGGGACCCGAATGACGCACGTTTGAAAGCTGACGTACAATTATGCGGCGCCCAGTTTGTGTAATTTAACGTTCAAATGACTAGAGTGCAATTCTATCTCACTCATCCTATTTTGGCCCTTATATAAACGATTCTTTGATATCTGAATGAGGCGCGTTGGCACGGTTTAACGCATCACACGGGCTACAAACTGTTTAAACGTCACTCATACATTTTTCAGCCCTGCGGCATCACTAGCCACTCCCATAGCATACGTTTAAGGTGCTACCGTCTTGGCAATATCTGTTTCACGTATGACTACCTGATCATAGTCATTCTTTGAACTCACTGCGTACAATTTGCACGAATTCCTCATTCAGATCAATAAGACGCATCTTGCCGCGGGTAGGTGTTTGTGGAGAAATGGTAGCCGTGTTCAAATTATT